TAGTTGACAAGATATTTAAATTTAAAGTTAAGAAAACTTTTACTTAGAAAAAATTTGTCCCATTTCTACTGACTCCCTCCCATATGATTATGTGATTTTCAGCATCAATTATGACAAAAAATATGCAGATATTTATAAGTAATTTGCTATATTAAGCAGTATTAAATCTTTAAAATATTGTTTAAAAAAATTAGTCAGATTATTGTTTTTAATAAAATATTATTAATTTAATAAATTATTCTTTAAACTGTATTTCAGACAAATTTGCCTAGAAAATTAAATTATATTTAGTGTTTTTAAATAAAATAATTATTTATTGTTACAGATTAAAATGAAATCTGATCAAAACAAAATTTTAAATTTTTTAGAAGATATTTTTTAGGTTTTTTTTAGCATTAGGAGTAGGGTTTAGAGTTAAGTTTATTAATAAATGAGTATATATGGGTTTTATAAGCTCTAAGGGTAGTTATGAGAGGTCCCTAGTTTTATTTTAATCAGATTTTATTTAATCTATGATATTTATTAATAATATGGGTATATATTTATTATAGAATATATTCTTGAAACATATTATATAGAACGAATCTATTTGTTGCTAGCAGTAATATAGTGACAGTAGCAATTAGCCAATTATATCACAAGATTAGCTGTAATGTTTTTTTTTTTAATTCAGCAGTTCTGCTTTAAGCTTTATTAGAAATATCAGAAAATTAATATTAACAAGGAATATAATTTTCTATATCTTATAATTCTACACAGACTGAGACTCATTCAGTACTAAAGCTCAGGTGTGACTTGCTTAGTAGCACTATACTTTATATTAGATTCTTAACTTACTGGGAATTTAATCTTAACAATTACTATATCAGCAAATTTAAAAGAAGCAAAATATTGCAAAAGAAATTTGCATTACAAAAAATTTCGCAAATTAGTACAAAAAATTTCGAAATATTTTGAAATATAATATTTTCAAAAAGAAAAAGTCTTGATTCCACCCCGGGTGGTTGCAGATCATTTGTCACCTCATATATATATATGTAATTTGTGCAACCAAAATAAATATATTGCATAATACATGTAATATTATGTAGTACTATATATTAAATATCTCTTGCATCGATCAAACAAATATTTGTTTTAGCGCCTTTGTGTAAAATACGATCTTTATTAAGCTTTTTATTTTTGTAACAAAGCACAAATACTATATGTTTTATATATACAATCTTTTATATCTGCATGCATAATTATTTGTTTTTATTATATGCAAGTTATAAATACACAAAGATAATGAAACATAATGAATAATTCAAATGAAAATTCAAACATTGAGAATGTTTTAGCATCAGGGTCTAAATCTGCTCTATCAAAGAAAAAACGGTGAAAGTTTTTTCAAGAACTTGAAATTAGTGACAATTTAAAAAAGCAAGCAGAAGAATTAAAAGTTGGATATAGATTTGAAAATTGGGACCACGTAGATCAAGTATTATATACATATAAAAATAAAAGGTTTCGTGTGGAGATTACAAAATACTTATTATCGAGTTGACAAAACAATCAGTAAAAAGTTATATGAGTATCAGTATGCAGGAAAGCCACGAATTTATAACAACCAGAACACCACATCTTCACATATTGATTGCTCATGTTATATTAATATTAGCTGGCCAAAGTTAGATTTGAACTCTCGAGTAACTACTTTTGAGCCTAAGCATGCTAATTATGATTTTAATTCAGAAAAAACTAAATTTACACCACTTTACCGAAGTTTACCTGAATCAATTATTAATCGAATCAAGTTTTACATTGACAACTCATCTGGAATAAGTAGTTTACAATTCGAAATTTTTTAATAGCAGAGTTTCCTAAACAAATCTTTTTAGAAAGAGATATAACAAATGCAATTCAATATTATAAACATAATTCTTATGATGAAATTAATGACCCAGACAATGATGTATTTTTACTACTTAATATGTTTGAAAATCAACAAAATAAAGATCCCGGAGTATTCATTTCTAAAAAAACTAAGCAGGGAAGGTTGTTTCATATTTTTTGGATAAATTCAAATTAACGTGATTTATATCAATGATATCACGATGTTATTGTAACAGATAATACTTCCAAAACAAATAAATATTCAATGTCACTATGTTTATTTGTTGGTGTAGATAATTGAAATCATTTACGAGTTTTTGCACAAGCATTATTATCTGATGAAACAGCAATGTCATATACATGGGTATTTGAGCAATTATTAAATGCAAATAATAGAATTTTACCATCAGTTCTTATAAGCGATGCAGATACTGGATTAAATGCGGCAGTAAAAACTTATTTGCTTAATGTTAAACATATTCACTGCATATTTTATCTTAGACAAAATTTGGATCGTCATTTACAAAGTATCTTGGGCGAAAATTATAGACTATTTTGGTCAGAATTTTATTTAGTTTATAATAGTTTAAATCAAACTATTTTTGAAATCAAATAGAATAATCTGGTTGAAACATTTTCTTTAGCTAATAATTACTTAACAGATACTTTAAACAAAATTAAAGAATCATGAGCAAAGGCATTTATTTGTATGATAGGTACTATATAGCTATATACATATCTTTTATTACTATTTAACAAATTTTTTTTACTATTTTACTTATTTAATATGTAATAGTTTTTTTACTGCAAGCATGGTTTCAACTCAATGTGTTGAAGGTATTAATTCAATTATTAAAAAGTATGTAAATTCGCAAAGCAGTTTGGTTGATTTTTTTTGTGGAGTTCAATCTTTTCTTCATAATTAAGCCAACAAATCTGAATATTATGATTGGATTGAGAAATTACTATATACATATACCTCAACATCAGCATCACAACGAATTTTTCCACATATAATTGAAGAATTAAAGAAATATCTTACATTAGAATTGTATTTAATTCAAAAAGCACAACTTGATATAAGTCTTGAGTACAACGCTATATTAATTCCACAAGAAGAATATGAACATATTATAGTAAGTAAATAATAAATAGTTTAAATTATTCTTGATATATGAAATATTATTAAGATTTATTTATTGTTACATTTATTATAAAATTAGGATACAGAACAAGAAAGCGATATAAATATAAGTGATCAAGCTGATATAGCGCAAATATCATTAAAATCTCTTATTAGCCAAGTTGGTCAAGAAAATATTCTTGAGGTGTGATGTATTAGTTATCTTACACATGATCCAAACTCAACATCTCATTTTGTAATTCTTCTGCATGATCAAGGACATGTTTGCACCTGTTTAATGATCTTGAATCGTGGATTAGTATGTTGACATTTTTTTCAAGTTATGATTCATAGCACAAAAGCACAATTTAATATATCTTTAATTAGAAAACGATGGTTTAAATTAGAATATCAATCAAATAATTTAGACAATTCTGAAATTTATAATTCTAGTATAGATCAAGAATTTTTAGATATTAATGAAAACATTTCACATGTTGATATTACACAATCTTCAACAGTTCTTGATATACTTAGAAAAGAAGATCCTATCAATGACATTAATATGATAATTAATGTATAGCATTTATATAGTGATTTATTTGGGCTCAGTCATAAAATAGCACAAGTTGCTACTGAAAAATGCCGATATGATATTTTAGATACATTTAATCAGATTTTAGAAGAATTGTATGAGACAGACAAATGTATGAATGAAACAAATGAGGATATGAATTATTCAAACCAAAAAGCAATTAGTAATCCATATATGATTAAGCCAAAAGGAAGGCCACGAAACAAAAGATTTAAAAGCTCTGTTGAAATATCTAAAAATCCTAGAAGTGGCAGTTCAAGCAATTTTCAAAATAACCATAGTAATAATAGCAGAGGACTAAACATGTATAGCAATTGTAATTTAACTAGTCATAATATTCGACGATGTAATGCACCATGTAAACTATGTAAGCAACAAGGTTATACATATATGAGATGCAAAGGAAAAGCGATAGAAAATAGTTGTGCTAATTAGACTGAATTCAGTTCATTAAAGTAATTCTTTAGTGCAATAAAAATTATTATTAATTGCACAAGTATTTGATCTTTATAAATATTTTTTCACATTGATTATAAATTGTTAAAGCAAAAACTTTCAAATTTATATTAGTACAACTATCAAATATTTCTTAGATAATCAAATAAATTTTATTTATTAATTCGGTAAGTTTAAAGATTATTTTATGGATTATTTATTAAATTCACAATTCATTTATTATTAATTTTATATTTAAACTGATTTATCGAATATATTTATTTATAGAGATCAATTGTCAATCTATTTAATTAGCCATACACATATCTAAGTTCATAAATATATATTTATGATTAGTTATGAATATGGTAAGTTTTTACTTATAATCGAAGAACTGCTAATATAAATAATTATAATAGGATATATTAATTGACTACATATGTATTATTACTTAGAATTTGATTAAGAATAAAGCATTTATTGTATACGTATATGATTTTAGTTAATTTTACTTTAATATTGGTAAGTCTAAAAATTATCTATCATTTTATTAAAACAATTATTTCACTTAAAATCATCACTTTCCTTTTATAATTCTCAGATAATCGTACATACTATAAAATTAAAATTCTTTTCAGTGATAATCTTGGTATTTATTACGAAGAGAAAATTCTGTTATGAAGCTAGTGATTATATTTTTGGGTTAAAATAGTTGGATTACTAATAATGATTTTCTTAATCATTCCACATGCTTAATAATTTACTTTGAAATTCTGTCAGAATATTCTATTTGAGCATTTATATTAATCTCCAAAATTTGAATTGCCGACCTATGAGTTCAAATTCAATGTATCAATCGAAACTGTGCTTAATTATATATTAAAAGATTTTATAGCAATTTTTTTGAGTATAGGATTAATATCAATACTCCTTACCAACAATTGCTTAGCATAACATCATCAATAACAAAACGCTACTCAAGTAATCATAAGCTTTTCATCTCAAAACAAACCTGCATAACCTAGCGAAAACATCTATTAACTACAAATAAGCTATAACGGCTAAAGTAATGTGCATGTAACCTAACGTCCTCTGATTTCACAATAAGGATCACTCTGTCACTTCATTGACAAGCTTTTTAATAATATATTTAAATCAGTAAGTTAGCCTATAAGCTTTATAAGAATTTATAATAAACATCTTTTAGTTAATTTATTTATATTAATTAGATTAGTAGAGTTGCTTCTTTTTAAACCAAACCTTGATAAACCGAATATTTAAAACAAAAATTAAATTTAAATATTTAGTTTATAACTAAAAAATGCTAGAAGTAAAATTTATAAACAACTATTTGTATAATGCAATAGGATACTATGTTGTAAGAAAAAGATTTTTAGCTTTAAATTTTTTATTGTTTGAAAATTATAGTGTGTATAATTATATTAAAATTTTATCCAATCAAAATTTAAAAAAGTCATGTGATAATATGGGTGGCAAAAATTTTTATACCACCCCGGATGGCATCAATACAACTTCTTTCAAAAAATTTTAATAAAAATTTCAAAATATTTCAAAATATATTTCATAATATTGTATCCAAATATTTTTGAAATAATTTTTTTTTTATTAGGTATATTAGTAGTATATTCTTGGTTAACGAGAATACATGCTAGCCTAGTGATGGTACCCAGGTTGGTATCACCTGGGTTATCCACAGATAATCGGATATTCGAGTTATAAACTCAGCTACCTGGATAAGCATACCTGAATAATACCTGGATAAGCATACCCGAATTGAATATCCAGGTTCAATTATCAAAGCTAATATAAAAAGAGTCAGATAGAAGATTTGATCAAGCTAAAATCAACAATTAACCGGAATGACTGAAAAATCATTCGGTTGATTTTATTTACAGCTATTATCATAATTTTGGGACACTTACTCATTACCTGAAATTAGAGATAGTAGTTGAATCTGGATATATATTTATATCCGGATTAATTCAGATTTTAAATAAATCTGGATTTAATTTTTTGAATATCTGTATCCGGATATAATATAAATCGGATATCTTCTTCTAATTATCTATCTATCTATTTATTTAATTCTGAGTTTGTGCATTTTAGCATTTTTGATTAGACGTAGCTGAGAAGCATGACTATAGATGCAGACTTATGACATCATCTAGTTATGTCTTATATAAAAAATCGGTTTATAAAATAAAATGCAATTAAGCTATAACTAATGACGTAAATAAGTCTGCATCTATAAGCGTGATCTGAGCGTGAGAATTCTGAGTTTGTGTGATTTAACGTTTTTACTACAAGTACGTATATACATATGTACATATATATATATGATATTTAGGTGATTTGATAAATTGGGTAAATTGGGTTATCTCTATGCAATTATAATATAACTATATATCTTTAATTCTGAGTTTGTGCATTTTACGTTTTTAATTAGATATAGCGAGAAGTGTGATCTGAGCATGAGAATTCTGAGTTTGTGTGATTTAACACTTTTGATTAGTCGTTATAAGTACGATATTCAGATAATTTGATAAATTGAGTAAATTGAGTTATCTCTATACAATTATGACATAATTACTGAACTATGTATTGGGTTATCACTATAGCAATTCTTGAATATTTGTGACGCAATCAAATTTTTGAAAGTTCGTTTAAGGTTAGTGCTTTTATTATTATTTTTTTTTTAATATTAAGGTGACCACTTGGGTCTGGCATGTTTATTAACTTCGGTTGCGAATGTCAGGGCAGCCACAGGACCACCCCTGACTTTGTTACATTAACGAGGATACATACTAGCCATATCTACGCCTTTTGAGCGTCTAATTAAGTAGTTCTCTATTACTAAGTACTATATTAGATGTCGTACCTATAAACCACTTTTACTTGAGTTACCCAATTAAACCCTCTGATCAACTTGGCACCGTCAGATATTCTCCCCAAAGAGGAACTGCCGCTAAGGCCCCTTAGGACTACTTTATCCTCGTGGTAAACCTACTAAAGCAGTCCATGTCTCACATATATATCATCTTGATTTTTCGGTAACTTGCGCCTAGAGTACTTGCGGTATCTCTCCGCTACCATTACCTACTTCCTTGCCCTTGTAAAGTTCACCCAAACCCCAGTACACACTTTACAGACTAGCACTGACTTTTTCTCCACCAACAGTATCCCAAACTCCCAATCCAGATAACCCAGGGAGGGACCAGTGGGCATCCTCTTAGTATTCTGATGAATCCTTTTTCCTCGTTTACACAGGGCTACCCCTGTATATTTGTGGCCTGGTTGGTATTAGTGTCTTGCCAAACACCCGGTCCTCGTCCAGTTTACTGCCGGTGTCCGATCACTGATGATCATCCTTTACATAGTACCATCAAAGATCTGTGCTACCTCTTTACTCGGGACTTGCCAAGCGGGATTCCGTGTGCCCCAGCCCTTGGATTTACACAAATGTTTCACTCAGGTTTCATATAACTTTTGTATCACACTATAGTTCTGCGTTCTTCTAGTACAAGCTGGTGTGACCAAGGCTACAGATCCGATGATCTATCATATTACATACAGTCTGCCATAACATATTCCTTAAATTCGAATTTCGTCACGGTGGGATTCGAACTCTTGTCCTGCCGCTTGGGGGTGTGACAACTTCACCACTTCACTAAGTCACCACACCCCTTGAAATGAATCTTTCTTGGAGATAGCAGAGATAATAAAATTTGCAAAGAATATAGTTGGTGTAAGGTCAGTAGTACTATTTGTGGATAAGACTGATTTTGCTAAATTTACAGTGATGTGTAACATATTGTAAAATGAATTTGCTATATCAACAATATTTTGTAAATGCTGTTTACTAAGGGCAAGCCACAGAGTATCATCTATATAGGCTAGTACAGAAATATTATAAGTAACTGAGTTGTTGGAAGGTAGTTGTGCAGACATAGTGTATTCTGTGAATTTAGTTGAAATGTAAGTAATTAGAGGATCATAATATATATTCCAGAGTAGAGGTGTAATTGTTTCTTCTTGATCAATTCTATCCTGTACATCATAGTATGGTGTCAAGTCAAGGTTTGTAATGACTGAGTTTTGGTGGTTAGAAAATATATTAATGATAAGCTGCTGTATTGATTTAGGTATATGAATACAGTTGAGTGCTTGCTGCAGTAGTGATATATGTACAAAGTCATATGCTTTACTCATATCCTGAAAAAGAAGCCATATTTCTTTATTCTGAGTTTGAACTTCCTGCAGGATGTTTGTAAGTATATGAATAGGTTGTGTTGTTAATGTGAATGGAAGTGCAACAAGTTTTGTGGGTTGAGTATTGAGTAGCGACCCATAATTTGGTTTAAGCAATGAGTAATGATCTTTGTAAATATTTTGCAAATATGTTTTCGCAAGGTAATAGGTCTGGTATGATTGAGTTGGTCAGAAAATACTGGTTTTTTGGATATTGGATAGATTTTGCTATGTTTCCAGGCCTTTGATATTTGAGAAGTGCTACGACATTTGTTAAAGAGTGTAGTGAGGATTTTGATGATATGTGGGTGTATATGTTTTAGCATCTTATTAGATATCAATGATGGTCCTACAGCCTGGTATTAGTTATTTATTCAGCTGTTTAGGTTAATTGAGGTTTTTATACTATGCAGATATAATATATTTCTGTGGTTCATATTCAGATTTCCAGATTTCTCATAATTGTAGATCATATGGGTTAGATTTGGTCCAATTTGCAAAGTGATTTTTAATGTGATTTTGGATTTGTGCTGGTTCTGTAACTACAGAATTTGTTAATAAAATGTTTTGAAAATTTCTGAATCTGTATAGTTGTTAATTATACTATTGATCATAGTAGTTGTGCAGGTTGTAAAGTTGTCATAGCACTTTTGTACTTGGGTATTAATATACTGGCTAAATGCCTGTTTATTCTCTATTTCTTTTGTATGATATAGAGTTTTTCTGAGTGA